CTTTCTTTATTTCATCTCATTAGAACACCATAAGTCCCCTGTTTTCTCAGAATACACCTTCACTCACCAGAGCACCCACAAAAAAGTTAATTCAAGTATCTTTACTTTTACGAACACGATTAACAGTCCTTTGATGTTTTTCTGATTACACAAGTAATGAGTGTTCTTCATAGAAATTTTCAAAACTATAGAGAAGCCAAAGAAAAGTTTTTTAATTATCTGTATCCTTATTATTGCAAATGTTTTTCACTGTTAATATTCTTCTATATTTTACATTGATTCTACATTTGTTTTTTCTAACTCAGCATGCCTTTAGGTCAAAGATTTAGATCTGTCGTTCTCAATCAGGAGTGATTTTGCTTAGAAACTACATTTTTTACATTTCCCTCCCTTAGTTAGTTCCTCCCTCCCTCTTTCCCCCTGTCTTTTACACACACACACACACACACACACACACACACACACACACACACATTTTTATGCCCAAATGTTTTGAATGGATCTGTCCACATTTTATTGTGGACTTGGTTATTTATTCTTGACATTCTTTGAAGGGTTTGGTCTTCAAGATAAATTATCAAAATGTGATGGCATCCCAGAGAGGAAGGGAGTATAACAGAATAAAATGCTGGGTCTCTGACTCTATCTTAATTCTACCCTACATTTTGCCCATGGCCTTCAGGCAAATAGCTCCTGCTATAGATACATTATTAGAGGAATTCTGCTTGAGGCTAGAGCTTCTGGCATTCAGATCAGCAGGGGTCAATGAACCACCGAACAAAGAGCTTTAGAGATTCCCCCTGCTGCTCCTTGGGTCTCTGCTGGCACCTAGGTATAACACACCTCTTGCCCTGCCCATTCTCCCTTCCCTTGACCAAAAAGTAGCCTGAATTCTGGGCTCTCTTAAGATGAATTTGTGGAAGCTTTAAGGCCCCTCATCTTCGCCAGCTGGCACCTTCTCAGTCAATAAACATTTCCTTACTCCAAACTCTGACATTTTGAGTTTTAGCCTTTTGAAGTATCGGGCACATGAACCTTGACTCTTTAACAAGAAGAGTTTCTTTGTGAAGACTAAGGGGACTGGAGATGCTGCAGAATTGCTGTGGGCACCTGGGACAACAGAGGAGGACAAGAAGGCCCTGAGACTGTCTGCCAGCAAAGTCAAGGTCGGGACATGCAGCGTGAGCCAGAGGGCCATGACACAAATTACAGGCACCTCAATGTCAAAAGGACTTCCCTTCTCAAATGTCTGGAAGGGTCAGAATCAACACTACTCTGTGATATCTAAGAGCCTGTGCCATTATGGGACTTTCAGAGGCCTGTAGAATTTACTTTTGTACATTTTGCTTTCTGTTAATGAAGTATCCTGTGGATGAAAAAGGGGTGACATATGAAAACTGACAAGCTCAGGGGAGGCCGGCATGGTGGGTCCTACAAACTCAGAACCCAAAAGTAACCACATAAGATGGTCTGAACATAAAAATTCCTAACTAGGGGCCAGCCGAGTGGCTCAGTTGGTTAAGAGCTCTCTTAAGAGTGCGAGCTCTGAGCAACAGGGTCGCCGGTATGATTCCCGGCCTGAGCTGAGCTGTCGCTGAGCTGCTAACAGGTGACAGGATGGCTCAGCTAAAAAACAACAAAAAATTCGTAGCTAAAAGCAGGTCCTGGCCAGTACTCACATCCTTGGACTGTAGCTTCCTTGACAAAGGTCAATCTTTACCTTAAGTGATCCTGTCTGTTGTCTTTTTGCATCTAAGATAACATACCCTTGGAATGTCAGAGTATTCTTTTCTAGGCCCCACAGGCTACAACCACCACACCAGAGCAGAGACCACAGAACCCCTCATGGTTATCTTGTTCCCCACATACCATCTCCGTGTGCTATAAATGTTAACTATCCTGTACCCACCAATGTCAAAGTAGCATGTGTCTCTGTTTTACTTTTTATCCAATCCCAGAGATTTCCCCACTTTGCTTTCTCCCGCCTCCCTAATTTACCACCAGTGAATTTCATGTAACCCTCCTTACATCTCCTCCTTTGCTTCTAACGTATAAAATAAGCTGCAAAACTGCCACTCTCCGGAGCATTTTCTCAATCCATTGAGATTTTGTTCCCCAGCAATTGTCACCGGTTTGGCTCAGATAAACTCTTATAAGTCTATTTCTTACGCTGGATGTTCTCTCAGGGACACTTCTATCATCCTGAATATAAAGTGCTTCTAAGGAGTACTGGGTGCTGGATAGATCTGTCAGTTACACTGGGTTGGAGCTAAGAGAATTCCTCCTCGGTCCAGTTCCCTCATCACTGTTACAAACACCCTGGGTATCAAAGGGGTAAATCTTCACCAAGAATTAGGTCTCCAACAATAATGATATAATAAACATTATTTTTTAATAAATAAAATTATAAAAACAAAATTATATTTGTAGGATTTTATAGACTGCAAAGCATTTTCACATACTTTGTGTTACTTTCTCCTCACAATCTTGTCGAGAGCATAGGGCACTTGATTTTACATTAGAATTGACGTTACCTCTCTGCCACTTGCTATTTGACTTTAGGCAAGGCACTTAGCCTCTGCTTTCTCATCTGTAAAATTAGGATAAAATTAGGATAACCATGCCCTTTTTACCTGATTCTGGTGAGATTCAAATTAAGAAAATACATTAGAGAGAAATTGATTTGTCAACACTAAAGCATGTTACAAATACAAGCAATTATTTTGCACATAGGGAAACAGAAGCTTGAAAAGATTAGTAACACCTGCAACACAAGAGTGACCCTAATGTATTGTAGATGATAGACTTTGGTTGATAATGACACATCAATGTAGGTTCATCAACTGTAACAAATACACCACTCTGGTGGGGATGTTGATAATGGGGGAGGCTGTACTTGTGTGGGGGCAGGGGATATAGTGGAAATCTCTGTAACTTCCTCCTAATTTTGCTGTGAACCTAAAACTGCTCTAAGAAATGAAGTTCAAAAAAATCAGTGACTTTTTTATTTTAATATTGCATACACATCTAGTCAGTTCTAGACCCAGGTCTCTGACATTAGCATAATCTGCTATCACATTTAATATTCATTCCACTCATTCTTCTCAATACTTTAGGTGATCTCCAACCTTAGAAACTCCATAATTTACTTTCCGCTAAGATTTTAATACAATAGAATACATGCCACATACCATGATGGTCACAAAATCTGTAAATACTAAATAAATACTCTCCCTGCTTGAGTGATCACCTGAGAATTAATAATAGTATAGATCATATAGTTTTACCCATTTTATAAGGTATATACATACTGAGAGGAAGTGTTGAGTGGTGAATATGAAATAGAATTCTAAAATCAGACAAGCCCAAGTTTAAAACCAGGCTCTGTTATTTATCAGTTGTGTGACTTTGAGTAAGTTAACTAATACCTATGAACCTTTAGTTCTTCATCTGTAAAATGGGGATGATATGCCATAAAATTGTTGTGAGAATGGAAAACACATTGTAGAAAAAGAACTGAGCACTAGGCCTAGCATATTTATGTACTTAGTAAATTTCTCCAAAGAGGACACACAGATGGCCTATAGACACATGAAAAGAAGTTCAACATCACTAATCATCAGAAAAATGCAAATAAAAACCCCAGCGAGATATCACCTCACACCAGTTAGAACAGCTACCAGTTAGAATGTCAACAAGACAAATAATAACAAGTGTCGGAGAGGCTGTGGAGAAAAAGGAACCCTCATACACTGTTGGTGGGAATACAGATTGGTGCAGCTGAATGGAAGGCAGTGTGGAGGTTCCTCAAAAAATTAAGAATAGAATTACTATATGACCCAGCAATCCCTCTCCTGGGTATCTATCCCAAAATCTGAAAATATTTATTCATAAAGATATATGTGCTCCAATGTTCATTGCAGCTTTATTTACAGTGGCCAAGAAATGGAAACAACCAAAGTGTCCTTTGATGCATGATAGCATAGAGAAGATGTGGTACATACACTCAATGGAATATTACTCAGCCAGAAGAAAAGATGAAATAGTGCCATTTGTGGTAACATGGATGGAGCTTGAGATCATTATGCTAAGTGAAATAAGTCAGACAGAAAAAGTTGACAACCATATGATTTCACTGACATGTGGGATTTAAAACTGAAAGCAATGAAGCAATAAATGAAAGACAAACAAATAAAGAAACAAAAACTCATAGACACAGACAATAGTTTAGTGGTTACCAGAGGGTAAGGGGGAAGGTGTGTGGTAGATGAGAGTAAAGGGGATCAAATATATGGTGATGGAAGGAGAACTGACTCTGGGTGGCGAACACACAATGTGATATAGAGATGATGCATTACAGAATTGTACACATAAAACCTATGTAACTTTACTAACCATGGTCACCCCTAATAAACTTTAATTAAAAACAAAGAAAAAGTTGCTCTCTATTTCTATTATTTTATGTTAAATTTCTGACCCAATGTCTTCTTTTCTGTGTTTTGAGCTAATTTTATTTTAAGGCAGACAGTTTAGTATTATGAAGGAAACATCTATTCCATGTACTGAGACCAAATATTTGCTCAGAAGGCAAGGGGAGGAGTAAGAGTGAGAGGAGAGCCCCCACTTTGCATTGGGGGCTCGAAGAGATTTCTTTCTTTGCAAGAAATAAAAAATATTTAAAAACAAACAAACAAAAGTCATGAAGTCAATTTTCTATTACAAGATCCATAAGTGAATAAATGGAATTCTTTCTACCAGTCCTGTTAACTATAGGCAAAGAGTATGTCCGTTATAGCATGCCCAGATTAAAAACACACTAGCCCCTAAGACAGAAAAGATTTGTCCAAAAGTCAAGAGACAAATGAAAGTATTTAATATAGAAATAATTAATTCGGATCATTGAGTTGGCCAGATGATTTTGGGAAGGAAGATTAGGAATCTTATTTTTAATGACTCGGGGTGAAAAACAGAAACTAATAAAAATTACACCCCTAACTGACCTTAAGTAATTGAAACGACTTTCTGCGTGATTCCTTTTTGTCGCTTACTCCCAAGTGACTCCACCTCCAAGCTTTCAGGGCAAGGACAATTTTCTGTTTCAGTTCATCTGGAGAAAAAAAAAAGCTTTCTTGCTGTATTCTGTCTTGCCTGTCACGGTGTGGGGGGTCAGCAAACACCTGAAAAGACAAATGTGTTTTGGAAAAGTTGACATCCCAAGTTACCCAGCTGTAAGCTATTTTCTCTACCATTCTTCGCAAATCAAGAGAATAAAGTCAGCGAGTGGTTCAAAATAAGCTTTTCCAAATACTCGTTTTCTCATTACTGTCCCTGCTGGGGCATTCTAGTCCCCAGCAACCTGACCTTCTTGTTCAAAGCTTCCAATCAAGTCCCCAGCTAAGTGCTGTCTCTCTGGAATTGAGAACACTATGGAAATTTCAAAGATTGACATTTTTAAACACCTGTGTTAGAAGCTCCCAATGAGATAAGACAGAGAGATAATTGAGTGGGTTCATCAATATACTGCAAACCTTTAGCCTTCAGGAGATGGACATGCAATGATTCAAAAGGAATAGGCAGCTTAATTCTTTAGGTCAAGGTTCCGAGGGCCAACCCAGACATACTCCTCTTACTGTGATATGCTCAGATAGGTGAACGTTTTTCAGCCTCCTAAGATTTTACACTCCTCTGCCTTCATAACCAAGAGAGAGACAACCCTCAGTGTGGCTGAGATTTCTACTTTTCAAGGTAGGAAATCTTCAGTGACAGACTAAATATTTTTGGAGTTTCTCTCAAGTTTGTGTCATGAAAGTCCTGAAGTTTGTCTACCTCAGGGGAAAAAAAAGTAGTGCAGGCCTCCAGGAATCCAAATTGCATGATTATCAAAGGAGACTCCTGGCAGGAACAGTGATGAAAAATTCACACCAGACAAACACAAGTGTCAGACGCAATTCTCTCCTGGCCATGTGGATCATGGAGTGCCTCATTTTGCAGGTAAGGAGAGTAGGCTTCTACTGACACAGGATAAGAAACTGGGAAAACTGACCATGAAGCAGGAGCATTTCCTTCCTGGAGGGAATATGTATGTGCATGAGAGTAAGGAAAATAAATAATGAATATAAGCAAAACTCAACGAGCAAGATGGAGTCCAACTAAACAGCATGCAGTGACGTCACGTCTAGGCTTTGAGGCAGGACCCCCTCTCAACAGGTAAAATAAGCTCATTTAAGATGAACAAGGGGAGATATGGAAACAACCAAAGTGTCCACTGGAGGATGAATGTATAAAGTAAATGTGATATATATACATACATACAAAGGGTGCCAAAACAATGTATACACATTTTAAGAAAGGAAAAAAAAAATATATATATATATATATATATATATACTGATAATGCAAAAAAAAAATGTATACAAGTGGACACTGTGGTCAGCATTGCTCAAGCAGTAGTTTGCCATAATCAGAAGTGTCTGGATGCTAAAGGTAACCACTTTGAGCACCTCTTGCAATAGCAGAAGTCAAACGTGACCTGTATTCATCTGTTGTTATCTGTATATATTGAGTATTACCATTTTAATACAGTTTTCCCATCTTAAAATGTGTATACTTTTTTTATAGAAAGCAGTTTCCAATTGTACTACCAGGCTTGGTTCTCATTGAGCCTGGTCCTGAGGAGGCATCAATTTGCAGTAGTAGAATATTTACATCAATCTTTCTCTTAACCGCTTTTTTCCTCTGGAGCCCATCACCACTGCATTATTTGGTGGAATGCTTTTTTTCATTATTCACAATTCAGCTGAAGATTTCCAGGTGAGGTGACAACCAGAGAATCATTTATACAATGAAGATACACTGTCTACCTTTAAAAAGGGCTGAGAAGATGAATGTGATAACTAATGTGTGGCTTATAACTACAATGTCTAAAAATACTATGGACTCATTACACAGTTTTAATAATAACCATCATGATAATAATTATGAAGTATACGCATCTCTCTCTCTCTTAGCTGATAATTGAAATACCCAAGTGAATATAAAAAAACAAGAGTCCAACAGCAGCCATGAAAAAATAGGCAAAAATATAATTTAGTAGACAAATATTTCTGCTATTTGTGTTGCAAACAACTAACTCACAAAGTCCATTATGCAGAAAGCGGTCCAATGCCTCAGTTGGTCAATAGAAAAGGTATTTGCAAACTGTCATGAATGTTCACTTATTTAAAGGAAAACAAACTAATAACATATTACCCAGCAATCCTACTTCTGGGCATTTATTTGAAGAAAACAAAAACACTTACTAGAAAAGATACATGCCCTCCCATGTTCACTGAAGTAGTATTTACAGTAGCAAGAAAAGGAAGCAACCTGTGTCCATCGAAGAAAAAGTAGATTAAAAAAATGTAAGATAAATATACATATAGATATATGTATTTCAGCCATGAAAAGGAAGGAAATCTAGCCATTTGCAACAACATGGATGGACCTTAAGGGCATTATGCTAAGTGAAATAAGTCAGAAAGAAAAAGACAAGTGTATGATCTCACTTATATGTGGAATCTAAAAAAGCCAAAATCACAGAAACAATGACTAAGGATACAAAGAAAGGGGGGATGGGATGTTGGTCAAAGGGTACAAACTTTTAGTTATCAAAGGAAAATATTCTGGAGATCTATTGTACAGCATGGTGACTATAGTTAACAATACTGTATTGTACACTTGAAAGTTGCTAAGAGAGTAAATCTTTTTCTTTTTTTTTAAAGATTTTTATTGGGAATTGGGGGATGGGAACAGCGCTGGGGAATTGGGGGAAGGGGAATAAACAAGTTGCTTTCCTTTTTGTTCTTCAGTTTAGTTGTGGAGGACGTTGCTTCACTGGCCCAAGTTGGCACTATCATTGCGCTCTTCCCAGGTGAGGCAGATTGGTCGCTGGCTTCTGGACTGCTGCTCACGGTGGCTGCTGGCTGCTCACGCTGGCTGCTGGCTATACACGGTAGCCCATGGCAACCCACTACAGAAGGGGCTGCAGCCTGCGACTCACAGCAGCCCAGCTCCAGGTTGAGCTGTTGTTCAGCATCTTAGCTGTAGAGGGCAGTGTCACTGGCCCTCATATGTGGGATCCGAACCGGGCCCCTCTGGCGTCCCAAGCCAGCTCTTAACCAACACGCCACTGGGCCGGCCCAAGAGAGTAAATCTTAACTATTCTTATCACCCAAAAAAAAAAATAAGTTATTATCTTAAATGATTCAGGCGCTACCCAACCCTATTGCAATAATCACTTTGCAGTATATAAATGTATCAAATCATCATATTGTACATCTTAAACTTACATAATGTTTTATATCAATTATATCTCAAAAGCTGAAAAAATAATAAGTAAATGAATGAATGACTTGAGGTTCATAGAGACATGGGCAGCTGTAAAAACACCACCACTCTATCCAAGCTATAGGCATGAGAACGCTTATAAATATATTCACGTCCAACCCTCCATATACATTTTCATGCCATCTACCTGCCTGGAGTGTTTTCTCACAACTCTATTGATCCAAATCCACTCAGAAATAGTCACTTGTGGTTCCAACATCAAGGAACAAAAATACCTGAGAAGTAAAAAAAAAAAAAAAGAAAAAAGAAAGAAACCTCAAGAGCAGTGGCAAGCTCCCCCAGCACCCTATATGCATTTTTTTAATTAAACTTTCTAATTCAGTGGAGTGGAGGTGGGACCACAATACTTTCTGGAGTAGAGCAGTTATTGAAAAATGTTCTCTTGCTAAGCTGCCTCTTTCCTGGTCCTTTTGATGGAGGACAGACTTTACTTGGGGCTTGTTTTTGTCTGAACCTGTTGATATTTTTGGGTTATCAGTTTCTTCAGCTCCAAGTTTGGAATATATGAGGCAGAAATAGAACCCAGGCAACTTATCATCGTATCATTCCTTGCGTCATGAGATCCATCACCTGTCTGCCTTTGTGTGTACACCATTCTGAGTCTTCTTACGTTTGTTTTTCATTTAATGTCCAGGAATTTTAGTTGTACTTAGCAGGAAGAGTAGGGAATAGTGCTACTCCATCTTCCCGGAAGCAAAAGTCTCCCCTGTGTGTATTTTATCGAATCCTTTATTATTGCAATCACTCTAAATTGTGATGGTTTACTTATCTATATGTCCCACAACAGGAACTTATTGACATAATACTGCTGTGAGACAAACCACCTCAAAACTCAATGATCAAAAACTATATGCCTTTATTTGCTCATGAGTTTATGAGTTGGTTGTTTAGAACAGACAGTTTTTCTGAGCTCAGCGGGGCTCATTCCATGCCTGATAGATGACCTGATAGGTGTCTTCTGGGATTATTAGCTCTGTTCCACATGTTTTTCACATCTCTCTAGTAGGCTACACCTGATATATCTTCACAGTGGAAGGAAAAAGTGGAAGCAAAAATGAAAGCAAAAAGGGTAGACATTCTTTTTCAAGCCTCAGGTGCCTCACATCTGCTAAAAGGCCATGACCAAAATCACATGGCCAAACTCAAAATCACAGTGCACAGGAATAGACTATCTTTTCAGTAAAAGGAACTGAAAACCTCATGGCAAAGCTTATATAGATAGGTTATAAAACTGGGGCCATTCATACAGTCTACCACTCTCCCACCAAAGGTCAAGCTCCTTAAGAACAGAAAGATATTCTGTCTTATTCATCCTTATATCCCCAACACCCAACACTAAAAGACTCAGAATAAGTGCTCAGTAAACGTTAGTATGAATGAATGAATGACTAACAGCACTTAAGTTTCCTTCCACCCAGTTGCAGATGGGAAGGCAGACTTCCTGGGTCTCTAGAATTTGTTTGTCTGTAAGTTTGGGTCTTTGGTGTGCAGAGGGATGCTACTAATATGCCTTCTATCAGAGCCTTTTCCACTTAAGATCCTCACAAATTTTTTCCAGAATCATAATTCTCTACTGCAGCCTTCTTTGTCTTGAATCCAATTCACTCGCTGAAAGATCTTGTCTGTACCAACAGTGAGCATTAGAGCTGACCAGAAATTTCAAAGCAGGCAACATTCTTCCCAACCTAACAAGACCTACCTTATTTTATATTAACCGGGTTGCCTGCCTAGATTGGAATGTAGCCTTGCTGCACTCACTGACTTGTCTATTTCGGATTGCAGATGGGCCTCA